TTATTCTAAGTTGCTATTACTTTGTTATCATTGTATATTCCTAAATAGCAGACACTCCAATATTTATACATTAACACTATGACTGGCCAGGCTCTGTGGCTCAGCCTGTAATCCAAGGCGAGTGAATTGCCTGAGCCCGCAGGTTTGAGACCAGCCCCAGCAACTTGGCAAGACCTTGTCTCTACAATAAAAGAAAAAAAAAATTACCCAGGTATGGTATCATGTGCCTGTAGTTCCAGCTACTTGAGAGGCTGAGGCGGGAGGATCGCCGACGCCCAGCAGGTCGATGCTGGGGTGGCCGTGAGTATGCCATTGTACTCCAGCCTGGGCAACACAGTGAGACTCGAACTCAAAAAAAAACTATGATGAACAAAGACTCATAACTTTTTATCACACAGAACCTGCTATAAGTCATAGGCTAAATATAGCATATGAAGAAGAGCCAAAGTCTATACTTAAAAGATAAAGGATGAAAAATGTTTAGAACCCATCTTTAAATGTTTTGCATACATCAATTTATAGTCAGTAAGTGCATCTACCTATGAAGGTGCCATAGAAGCATCTATTTCTCTATTTGACTCCTAGTATCTATACAAATGTGAGAAATGTTAGTATCATTAAATGGTTCCCCTGAATAGTAACCATTAATACTGGCACACTGTATTCTCACAAGAGCCTTCAGTTCCTTCACTGTTAATCAGAGTCAATCAAGTGCAGAATTCCATCAAGAAGGGAAGAGGGAAAAGTACAAAGGGAGTTGCTGAGACTTCAAAAACAAAGCAATGCTGTGAGATCATGAAAGTGTGACTCTTTTGACAGTGCCTAATACAAAGTGAAAAAGAAGCTCCTCAAAGTCAAAAGCTTTGAAGATTGGATGTAGAGTGTTTAGCAATGTGAATCCTGAGGTTAAAAGACAAAATGGTGAATACCCTAAGACAGTGGGAAAATGTTATAGTCAGAAGCCTCAGATTCTAGTCTGACTTGCTAGACACTTGGACAAGTCATTTACCTTTTAGGTCTCTATTTCCTCCTCTGTAGGACACAAATAATATATGGTGTGCATAAAACAGTTTTGATTTATAAGCAAATAAAATAATTTATATTGAAGTGATTTTAAAATAGCAAAGTATTATTTTTATAATGAGTTTCATTAATACCATTAATATTTCTTTCAGTCATATTAATTCCAAATTCCCATTAATAAAGTTGTCCACTCCCTCTCATTCTGAAATAACGGTCAAAAGACTCTGCCTAAGTAAGCTCCTCTCAAAACTCACTTCCCGACTGACTTCTTTATACCATCTGCAATATTTGCTGGTCCCCAGTTTTAGCCATCATGCCCCTCAGTTTGGGAGTATATGTACAATGGCAGCTGTCTTCCAAACATCATGTCATAATCTTAAGAAGCCAGTTAGTATAACTATCATTCACATTCTGTAAAACCATGGGAAAAGTTCACTAACAACTTCATCTAGACATTGGTCTGTCTGTGAAAACACAAAGAGATTATTCATGCTTCTCTTTAATTGTTTATCTAGAGAAGTTTACTCATCCAACATCTTTTTTTTTTCCTTAAACACCAGGGAAATCTCCTGTCTCATTTCCATTAGATGTTCCAACCTCAAAAAACAAAAAAAAAAAGTAAATGTCATCATGCCATCATCACTTACTTGTTCATTCACTAAATATTTATTGTTAGCCTACTATATGTCAGGCATTATTCTAGAAGCTAGGAATATAGCAGTGAGATAAAAATTCCTGCCCAAATGAAATATAAAATTCTAATAGCAGGGGGAAAATTCAATATAAATAATTAATATATATAATATGGTAGATTCTGATAAGTACTAAAGAAAACTAAAGAAGAGTAGATATGTAAGAAGTGTCAGAGTGTGTGTAGTGTGTGTGTGTGTGTGTGTGTGTGTGTGTGTGTGTGTGAGAAAGAGAGAGACAGACAGAGAAACAGAGAAAATTTAGATATAGTGGCAAGGAAAGCACTGGCTGAGAGGGTGATATTTCAACAAAGTCTTGAAGGACTGTTAATAAATTATTATTTCTTTATTTAAGATTTATGAGTTGCTAGAACATCAGTTATATATATACTCACACACTCAATTTTTTTTTTTTTTTGAGTTGGAGTCTCACTCCATCACCCAGGCTGGAGTGCGGTGGCACACTCACCGCCACCCCAGCATTGACCCGCTGGGCTCCGGTGATCCTTCCACTTCAAGCTTCCAAGTAGCTGGAACTACAGGCACGTTCTACCATGCCTGGCTAATTTTTCTCTTCTTTTTTTTCTAGAAACGAGGTCTTGCCAAGTTGCCCGGGCTGGTCTTGAAATCACAGGCTCAGGCAATCCATTCACCTCAGTCTGCCAAAGGGCTGGGATTACAGGCTGAGCCACCAAGTCCAGGAGCATGCCACTGCACTCCCGTCTGGGTGACAGAGTGAGACTTCAACTCAAAAAAAAAAAGCTTTTAAATTACAAAGGATAATATATTGTTAGGAGAAAGATCAGTTTATGATTTAAATAGGCTTGACTCATTAACTCATCCTAAATGTATATATGGCAAAATAAAAAATTAGGAGTCTCTATCCAACTCAAGAACATGTAGTACATTCAATAAGAGTAATCCCTTTCTTACATATCAAAACTATAACAGAATGCTTTGGTCATTTCAGTAACATCTTTTTTTTTAACAATAACTTTTTTAATTATAAAGATGTGGGGTACAATTCAGGGTTAGGTATACAAACACTGATTATGTAGGTACCCTTGTTGATGAGGTATGCTTCTCCCTCCCCTAGCAGTTTCCCTCAACTGCCAATCACACCCCGTTTCCCTGACAGTTTCCCACTACTGCCAATCTCTTTTTTATAGTATTATAATTGTTCAAGGTCCACTTATGAGTGAGAACATATGGTAATCTGTTCTTTGTTTCTGTGATAGATCACTGAGTATAATCAACTCCAAATCCATCCAAGTTGCTGCGAAGTCCATATGTTTGTTTTTCTTATGGCTGCATAATATTCCATTGTGAATATGTACCAGATTTCTTTATCCAGCCAAGCTTCACTTATTATCAGAGAAATGCAAATCAAAACCACACTGAGATACCACTTAACCCCAGTAAGAATGACCATTATTAATAAAACAAACAACAACAGATGCTGGCAAGGATGTGGAGAAAAATGAATGCTTCTACACTGCTGGTGGGAATGCAAACTAGTGCAGCCTCTCTAGAAGACAGTGCGGCAATTTCTGAAAGAACTAGAAATTTAACTTCCATATGACCTAGCAATTCCCTTATTGGGAATATACCCAGAGAACTCAAATCATTCTACAAAAAAGATACCTGCACACGTATGTTTGTTGCAGCTCTATTTACAATAGCAAAAACACGGAACCAACCACGTTAATAACATCTTAATAATCGAAAGATTTGAAAACCAAAACTACTATATGAGCCAGGCTCGGTGGCTCAGCCTGTAATCCCGCACTTTGGGAGGCTGAGGTGAGTGGATTGCCTGAGCCCGCGGATTCGAGACCCGTCTGGGCAACTTGGCGAGACCTCATCTCTACAATAAATCAAAAAGTTAGCCAGGCATGGTAGCATACACCTGTAGTTCCAGCTACTTGGAAGGCTGAGGTGGAAGGATCGCCGGAGCCCAGCAGGTCAAGGTTGCAGTGGCCGGTAGCGTGCCACTGCACTCCAGTCTGGGCAACAGAGTGAAACTCCAACTCAAAAAAAAAAAAAGAAAAAAAAAACACACAAAAAACTACCATATGGATAACTATATAATGGAGTTTACTAAGCAGCATATTTAAAAAATATAATTAAATAGGCATTAACAAAGGCGTTATGTTTATTTAACCACCAATACCTTCTTTCTAAAACCAGGATACAATCCACAGAGCCAAATCTGGTCTACTTCCTGCTTTCATTAAATAAAGTTTTATTGAAATACAGTCACATACATTTATTTAAGTCTTGCCTGTGGTGACTTTGGAGCCACAACAGCAGAACTGAATAGCTGAGACAGAGACCATATAATCCACAAAGGCTAAGATATTAACCATCATATCCTTTATAAATATGTTTACCAATCACTACCTTAAGACTGTTGTAATGTCAGGGAATCCTTACACTGATCTCTCAAATACTAATTTCCAGTCTCTAATACAGATGCCATTCAGCTGCAAATACTACTGGAATAAACTCATCTTTCAAATGTTTTAGTGTCCCTGCAGATGTGGAATTTGTGCAGTGTTTTGTTTAATATTCACCTCCACATAGTCTCTGTCTAGTCAGTTAATTACAAATATTTTCATAGTTTCTCCTTTGAACACAGTAATGCTGAATATACTTTCTATAAGCTACAGGACTTGTTGAATAATGTTAATGGAGCTATACTCCTAGGCAGCTATTTGAAACCACTTACTGACCAATTAATTCTAAAGAAATATTTCTGAACCCACCACTTTCATCTTTTAAAATAATCTCTATTGACTACCATATTCTAGCCTTGTTGACAGACCACTTCTACTGTACTAATGAAATACTGGCTAAGTGAGCTCATGGCTGATATGATCTTTACGTAGCATACCTATTTTTTCCCCCTCAGTTTTCATTAATCCTTCTGATAATCTCCTCCCAACATTATATCTCCTCTCAGTATGATCTCATAAGAAATGAGATCATGACCTATGAGTATTTTTCTCAATTCCACCATCAGATCTTTTCCTTCCTAAAATGTTACAGATGGCACAGTTAATTTTAATGTTAAACCATAGGTTACCAAATGATACCATCCCAAGAAAATATGTATTATATTTTATGTGATATTTTAAAACCTAGTTGTTTTTTTATAGATATAAATCTAAGGTTAAGTGCTATACATACAGCTAAATTATTTCACATAAACTAAATAAAATAAACGAATACAATAATTATTGTTTATAAACACATTTCAATAATCAAAAATGACACAAAAATACTTCATCTGAATTTTGAAAAAGCATAACTGCAGAAAATATCCCAATGGACACAAATTGCTAAAAAAAAAAAAAAAATTTAAAAAGCCCAATTTTAAAAGCCTTTCTGAAGAAAATGCTAAATAAGGTAATGATAGGTTTGTACTCACCAGAATTGTGGCAGTAGTCCATATACTGTGGAACTTGAATTGTGAAGGCTATCAGATCGGGAGCTAAGAGAGATTCTGGCTTTCTACTCTCATTGAGCCACTTGGTGCTATGAAGGTCTTTAGTGTCAGAAGGACCCTGAAGCAAGGGAATCAATTTCTCTTTTCCGCTGTCAACTGAACAGAAATATTTATAAAATCACAACAAATCTTACTAAATAAAATATAGGAGTAGCTTGAGAATGCTTGATTTTAAAATATACTAACACCATTTCAATTATATTTGGTAATTTTAAGCTGTCCATTTAGTTATACTCTAAGGAGTCTGATAAAATTTAAAGCCTTTTTAACTCGTAGAATGAAGTTTTGACATTTTGCTAGTGAATATAGAACATATTCAGAAAAATTTATAAGAGGAAACAACTTGAACTCACTGTCTTCTAAAAAATTCAAAATCTATACTTTTATAAACTTCTCTTAAAATTTAATTTGCCCTAAAAAAGTTATAAATAGTTTAAGAAATATATTATAAAGTAAAATATTCATAGTAAGGTTAAATCAATTACAACCCCAAATTTAAAAACAACTGGATTTTCTGTTTAATTCTATTATACTAACAACACTTAATTTAATTCTTTGGTGTAATACATATCTGTACCCCCATTCCTCCCAAAAATATAAGAACATTCCTTAGTTTTTCTCTATCATAACCAATTATAAAACTATGTAACATTTTTTCCTTAAACAAATAATAATATTTTTAAGTCAAGAAGTATCATCCTGGCACAATTAAAAATTTTTTAAGTAAAAATTTTAAACCTCTGATTCATAGGAACAATGAGTAAATTCTTGTTTCAGTAACGCTCCTTGTAAAATGCAAGGCCAATTCTCCTATACAGGCAATAAAGTTTTACACGGTCCAGCTGCACATACCTGGGGCTTTGGCACAAATTTTTATTGATCCCACGGTCCCAGAGGCACATTTGACCAATGATGTGCTGCAGTACTTCAATTCAACATTCTGGATTGAGCCCTCAAGAGTTGGCAGGGGATTCTTAGATTTCACACCTAATAAAAGAAAACTGCAAATGTACTAGCCGATTGAATTTAAATAATTTTTATACTCCTTCACCAAGGCATTTAAACTTAATTATACTTTAATTATCTGCCTCAGATGTTCTTACAGTATTTGTGTTAGGTTTCATAGTTTAGTGTTTAGGAGGTGCAAGGATGCAGTTTTAAAATAAATGGGCTGAACTCTCATAACTATACTTATGCCGTCAGCTCTTGATTAGTCAAGCTCAAGAAATACAAGTTAATACATAAATATTTCTTTCAAAAACAAGAGAAAGCTTTAAATATTAGATTTGGCTTTAGAATATAGAGTAAGATTTTTCTTTTTGAAACAAATTTCACTTATAAATTGAGTTTCATTTAGGAAAACATTTAAACATAAAACTACCTGGGTAAACAAACTCTCTAAAACATCTTGGTCAGGTGAAAGGAGAAGACAGAAACAAAATATAGGTTGAGTAGCCCTTCTCTGAAACGCTTGGAACAAGAAATATTTCAAATTTCACATTCTGTCAGATTTTAGAATACAAGTATTTGCTTTAAATACTTACCAGTAAAGCATCCCTAATCTGAGAATCCAAAATCTGAAATGCTCCAAAGAGCATTTCCTTGAAGTGCTAGCACTCAAAAAGATTCAGATTTTGGAGCATTTCAGATTTCAAATATTCAAAATATGTAAAAATAGCTCCTAAGTTAAAATCAATACTTAGAAACAAAACTGACATGCTCTGAACAGGTCAAAGGAAGTAAAAAAATTTTTATTAATTACCCAAAAGAGTGGATATTAACATCTCTATTACATTCCCATTTGCGGAAGGATATAAAAGCACAGAAAGTAATAACTACCACAAGTAAATGGTTGGGAAAAGATAATTCAAAAGGGAAGACCTCATTTTTATCCTCGTGTTAGATAAAACTATACAGGCAGAGAGGTCATAAAAACTGATAGTACTGACAACCAGTACAGCATTGACAACCACAATGATGACACAATAATGATGACGACGATGATTATGATGATGATAATGAATTCTCATCAGTTAATATTTACTGAGGATTTAGTGTGTGTTATGCAAATCATATCATTCAATCCTTACAACAGGCCTATAGTATGGATATCATCATTATTCAAATCTTATAGATGAGGATACAATGGATTACATAAATTATCAAATTTGCCCAAAGTACTACAGTTTCTAAGCAAAACAGCTAAGGTGTTTAACACAATCTGAGCTCATCACAGAAGACTTTACCACTCATTTTGCTGATATTCATGAAACCTACCAACATAGTTTCCCTTTTTTTTCCTCCAATTCCACATTTTGGTTAAATATATTCTATCCTTTGTGTTTGGACCGTCGTAAACTATATATGAATAATTAAGAAGACCACAAACTTTTTATGACAGATGTATTAGATTATTCTAAAATCTTTCAAAGTTTATGTTCAAGAAGATTCATAATCTCACAAAGAAATTATGAATGAGTCATCCTGAGCTGTGGACCAGGAATCTACAATTTAACTAACACATTAAATGATCTGTAAATGGTTAGAAGATGTCATTCTGAGAAATACCTTGCCCCATGCTAACCCTTACTTCAGAAGGAACTATTAATTTGCTAATTTATATTTGGTCTTTATATAATTATATATTGACTGGTTGCTATTTTCCAGTATCTGCCACCTGTGTTGTGTTCATTTGAAGTAGTATCCATTATTGTCTGAGAAGGAGTTCTAAACTTGGGTCTACAGCAGACTTTCAGCAGTCTATGTAATCCATAAAATGATAACTAAAATGTTTTATGTTTATGCATTTTTCTAACGCATTTTTATCATATTCTCAAAATCCATTTCTCAAATAACGTTAATATCTCAGAAAAATCAATAGTGCCAATAATACTAAAAGAATCATCATAGTAGTAGTACTAGTTATCATCGTACCAAATAATCACTGAGCACTTACTAAGTACTACGCACTATACTTGTTTTATTTATTCAGCACGCACATGCGCGCACGTGCACACACACACATACAAAATCTGCGGTGGCTATCACTATATCCACTTTAATATAGAAAAACAAAGGCTTAGAGAAATAACGATTTTGTCAGAGGCTCAAGTAAGAAAGTGGTAAAGGCTGGATCACATTATCCTTATAAGAAAGGATGTAGTGCTACTCTACCTATTTAACATCTATAATGGTCACAGGGAGTTATAGTCAGTGGGTAACCTACCCTGCTCCAATCACTATATTAGAGGATGAGAGGGAGACATACTCAATAATATCCTCCTGCCTTCACAGACTCTCATTCTATACCAAATTTTCAAAAACCTATAGGAAACCTTACAGCAGTCAGAAGACAAGAACTCCTAAAAGATTCTCTCAAGAGCTGCTGACAGTGTCAAGAACTAAAAGAATTGAATTAGTTTCTGGTATATACAAAAGCCAAAAAATATGGAAAGGCAAATGATTTTGTTTTAAAATTATTTAATAACCCTGCTTCCTTTACAGTTTGCAAAGCTTAGTATGCTACTTTGAATCATAAATAATGGGTCTCTGTTAATATCTCATGCATGTTACATATAAGACTTTTATCAGAAGATCTCACCTAAAGCCTCTTCCGGTAAGAACTTTATATACCTGTATAAGCATTTTGGTATAGACCAATATTATCAAGAACTTAGTTCTACATGTTTACTATCATTATGTTTTTCAGATAATTTTAAATTTGTTTTAACAACAAAACATCATTATGCCATTGTTTCTCCTTAAAAAAAGATTTTTAATAAAGTAAACTCATTTGTTTTCAGTGACACAAGCTCAGATTTTTAAAAAGGAGAATAATTATGTCATAATTTGATAGACCTTAATATCAAACAGAAAAAAGTTGCTAGAAAAAATAGTCTCTGTTTTTTTCCACTTCACCTCTCAACCAAAAATTGCAAAATGCTGCAAATATAAGCAATAGAAAGGCAGAGGGAGCAGAGTCTTGGCATTACACAACTCAGGGCACCACTGACATCATGTTTTACATGAATCCTGTGCTCTGAAACTGTGAAATCAATGTGGAAAGCAATATGGTGAAACAAAACAAGCAGTATCACTGAAGCTAAATAAATGTAGCTTCAGATATAGGCAGCATTACCTAACTTGTAATTAGGTGGCTTAAGGCAAGTCACTATTTATAGCTCTTATTTGTGGAGGCCAAAATAACTGTAGTTATCTTCAACGTATTTAACTCTGAGAACTCACTGAAATTTATACAGAACTTAATTTAGAAAAGGGATACAGTATTTTTGTAGGATATATAGACAGTTGACATGAGTCAAAAGAACAATCACAAAGATAATGAAAACAACTTAAATTTGAAAAAGTGCTTTACGGGGTACTATATTTACCCAAATATTGCTGTCATAGACCACTATGGGAAAAGAGGGCATCCCTAAGGCGCTGCAATTGATATGTAATTTTACACTATACTACCAATAAAGTAATCTAAAAATAATTAGCAATTTTTATAACACAATTAAATATAAAATAGTGTGCTATTTCTTTTTTTTTTTTTTTTTCATTAATCAGTAGTTTTTATTATGGTTTTGTGGGGTACAGTTAAGGGTAGGTGTACAATGACGTTTCATTCAGGCACCCTGTAGATAAGAAGTGTTTTCCCATCCCCCGACAGATATTTGCTACTGTTAATCCCATCCCCCTCCCCCCCATAGTTTCCCAGTACCATCCGTCATTTTCTCATAGTATTGCATTGGATGTTCAAGGTCCATTATATGAGTGAGAACATGTGATATTCGGATTTTTGTTTTTGTGAGAGGTCACTCAGTATTATAGACTCTAGTTCCATCCAGGTTGCAGCGAAATTCATGATTTTGTTCTTTTTTATGGCTGCGTAGTATTCCATCGTGTATATGTACCACATTTTTTAATCCAGTCCTCTTTTGATGGGCAGCATGGTTGTTTCCAGGTTCTTGCTATTGTGAACAATGCTGCGATAAACATACGTGTGCAGGTATCTTTTTTATAGAGTGATTTGTGTTCTTCAGGGTATATTCCCAGTAGGGGGATTGCAGGATCATATGGAAGGTCAATTTTTAGAGCTTTTAGGAATCGCCACACTGCTTTCCACAGAGGTTGCACTAGTTTACACTCGTGTGCTATTTCTTATACTAATGCTTTTATGAAAAATATCAGCTCCTAACACAAATTCCTTTTTTTTTTTTTTTTTTGAGTTGGATTCTTACTCTGTCACCCAGACTGGAGTACAGTGGCCACTCCTGGCCACCGCAGGCTTGACCTGCTGGGCTCCAGCAATCCTTCCGCCTCAGCCTTCCAAGTAGCTGGAACTACAGGCACACACTACCACACCTGGTTCATTTTTTATTTATTGTAGAGATGAAGTCTCTCCAAGTTGCCCAGGCGGTTG